TCATTACGTTTATGAAGCGAGTACGTTGCATCGAATCAATCGTGAAATTTACATCGTACAATGACGAAAACTATTTTCTCCGCGCACTCACGAGAGACGCAAGTTGCCGTCGAATTTACATACACCTATCCGTCTGAGTCTGTATATTCCATCTTAAGTATCACAGATACAATATTTCAATGTTCGCGGGTGACGCCGAGTGTTTCGTCCGCGTGGACTTCAACTTCCAACGCTCGTTACACGCCCGTACTTCGTGCGCCGTACGACGATAGTCGTAAAAGTCTCCGCGCATACTTTACGGGTCTTCGCGATTTTGATAAAGAACGTTCAAACGTCACTCCGCCGCGCGGCTTTAACGAGAATCCCCGGGAAGCGAGCGAGAGATAAGCTACTTAACGCGCACTTATTAGCATATTAGCGCCCGGCTAGATCCGATACTTTGGCGCCGCATGAGACGTCGTTGCCGAGCGAGAGAAAAAGAGAGACAGATAGGTCGTGTCGCGGATTAACGCCGTCGTTTAGATAAACGTGTCGAAGCGTGCCGAGCGATAAAAGCGAACGCCGCGCGCATCGACGCTGCGGCGATTAAGGTCTGGCCTAGACTCGTGCGCCATTAATAAGGAACCCTTAGGAAGACGAAGTGCCTGCGAAGATAATTCCCGCGAGGAAAGGAGACTTTTCGCCGGCAAGCTGTGTCGATACTTCTGTGTTTCCTCGTCCTCCTGCTTCCGAATGACGCTGTTTTCGTTTTCGACGATATATCACGCGCTTCTGCGCAGGTAGACGAGTGCGCGTAAGGTTTCGTCGCACGCCTCGTTAATCAGCCGAGGATGCGAGGTCCGGTGGAATTAAACGGCGGTCAGTTTCGCGCAAATCGCGAGTCGCCGGACGGGAAAATTGACCGCTCGGTCTCGCGTAAAGGAACGTGGAATAATTCGCGCGCCACGTTAATTGGACGGTGTCCCCTCCAGGGTCGGATTTGGGTCACTGGATTAATCGCGCGAGCACGCTCTCCTCCGCCGTCTCAGCCGCGTTTCCGCGGTCGTTCGATCCGAGAGCGACCGTCGTCGGTGGTTCCCTTTGATCGGCCGGCGGCAGATCACAGTGCAGTCGCGGATTCACGGCGGAAAAGCACGACCAGCGAGGAGCGCGCGTGGTGGAATTGCTCAATTACCCCCGGCAATCCCGCTCCTCGGCGCGGTATGCAGAGGTAAATTGTCGATGGAACGTGGCGGGTTTACCTTTGTAAATTGGCGCAAAAAAGGCGAAGCACGATCGCGCGACGACAGCCCCGCGGACGTGCGTCGTTTTGCTCATCGGGCCCGCTCCGAGACACCGCGAAATTAAGGTGCGCACACGGCGTTCGGGACACACCGTGGGGCTCGAGGAGGCTCCTTTTACCCGCACGACTCGTCCGATCGAGCTCTCCGAGTATCGAGAATCGAGACGGGACTTGAGACCCGATTCGACCGTCAAATATAAGTGGCGGTCCGCGATAGGTAGTTTAAGCGTTGAGTCTTAACACATTGGCCGATCACGGTTGATGAAAATTAAAATTGTATAATTACAACCTCCAGTGATTATCGACTGCTTCTCGGTTAATAATAGTTGATACTGATTCCGCTGTATTATCGGGCCCTGATTACAAGACTCCAGTCGAGCTTTCGACCTTCCGACCGCGAGCTGACTTCACGAATCGGCTCCCTGCCACCTGGGGGATCGCATGCGGGCGGATGCACGTGTCAGAAGATGCTCTCTCGTTCCCTCTCTCTCTCTCTCTCTTCCTGTCGATATAATGATCGGGCCATTTGCCAAACTATTTGCAAGCGTTTTCTCCCGACACACTCGGCGTTCCATAAATAAATTCCCCGACCGTTGCGCCGACCTTCCGCCGGCGATAAGCCACATCGAAGTCTGGCAGACGAGCGGCGCCTAACGGGCGGCGATTTCCGAGCTCGGTCGACCCTGCGAACGTCACATCGGGTGGTTTTGACGCGAATAAAACCGCTCGCGCTTCTGCCGCGATCCGCGCATTGCCAAGGTCAGTCTAATCCTGAACCGTGGTAGGTGAAAGCGTAACCCACGTCGACGACACGGCCGGTCGTTAATAACGGCCGAGCATTCACGATAGAGCACAGTTCTAAAACAGTTTCCCAGAAGCAAAGTACTCGAGACAATCTCGAGCGGCGGCGGCGGCTTGGAACGAGCTTGGCAACGCGCGCCGATAAGAATAACCGACATTGTAGGAGGGGTCCGATTCACGGAAAACTTCATTAACCAGCTCCCTAAGCGTGAAATTCGTCGGCTAAGTTTGCCGCTGATTACAATCCGGTCTGAACGTCACTTGCAGACCGGATAATAAGCCCTTACGATCTCGCTCTGAGAAAGATTCTCGACCGATCCGTTTATTGGTAGAATAATCGATCGTGATTGGTCGATTTGCTCGCCGGTCGCGTCTTTAAGCGAGATTGTGATTAGCCAAGGCTAATGAAAACGTTCGCGGTGATTGCGGCCTAATTTTGTTATGACACGCGTGTCAAACGGGAAGAATTGACAGGCAGGAAGAGGCGTCCCGTAGCGGGTGACATGTGGTCGACGGGAGGTCTGACAAATTAAGCGCGGTGACACGCGAAGCGAAACAATTTCCGATGAAAGTGGCGGCCGCTGCGGTCGATGAAAGCACGTCGGGACGCGCGGGACGATTGTCAAGGCTCGGGACGATGTTTCAAGGTGCGAGGTGCTGCTTGCTATCCTCCTCGCGAAATCTCGCGAAAGTTAATCTCGAGTTCGACAGCGCGGAACGGGGCAATCACGAACGGCGTATCCCGCGTATTACGTGGACGACGGCTAAGCCGCTAACACGCTATCCCGGTCGATCTTGCGTTACGCTTCGGCCGACGTGCGGACGTAAAAGCGATCGATTCCCGATATTCCTTGCGCGTCCACCCTCGGGCGACGTAATTAAACGGGAACGATCTCGACGGAATTAGCATCGCGCTCGGGCCAATACAAACAAGCGAGCGATTGGAAATAATCCCTCACCCGTTGGCAAAACTGAGGAATCTAATTGTAGAAAAACTTGCAGAACCGGCGATCATCCCTCTCGTTTCGTGGTGAATCGCCCTTTATTCATCTCATATTTCGTAAGTTCTCAGAAGTTCGTTTCTTCCGACCGTTTTTCGAGAGTTGTTGCCGGAAGCTGAAGATACACCGCACTTCTGCGATTTGCGGTAGAAAACCGGCTGGAAGAGGATTAGTTAATTATTCGAATTGTTCGGCGACGATCTTCACTCCGGATCTCAAACTTTCTGTCTAGTCTGACTTTATCATATATATTTCGTACTGGCCTCTGTGTTTACGGTCTCTCTGTCTCGTGTGAATTTCGTCTATCTTATACCTGCTGGACAAAGGACGCTCGTGGCATTGTTGTCGCACGCTGCGTTGCTTTCGCTTGTTTAGTCTCGGTCCGATTTAAGCTTAAGGAGCCAAACGGCATTGTTAAATACACGAGGCTCCTACATTACACGAAATAAATTTCAGTTCGCACAACTGAGGGATCGGACGATAGTTCTGTCACCACGACCGGAAACGTCGGTCTGAACATTCGGCTGCTTAAAAGCTCGTACAAATGACCGCAATTCACCGGAGGAATATAAATCTCCCAGGAACCTTTCTGTAACCGAATTTTTGACCCGGTCCTCAGGTATTAAAAAAAAAAAACCACGAATCGAGTTTTTTTTTTTACCATGCATCGATCATCGTCCAAATGAGAGAGCAAATCACGTTGAATAACGAAGATTCCCCGCAATCGTCACGATAATAACGCCGTAAGTCAAGATCATCCGGGCCCGATCTGATGTTTGAATCACGATCGAGACCGTATGATTTCGCGTCCGCGAAGAAGGCAGATGGCTATCTATTCGCCGAGGAATCGTCGAGGAATCCGCGAGGGGTACAGTTGCGGGCCAGGTCTCTCGCGCCACGTGGGTATATCGCGTGTTCCTCCAGGGTGCTCCATGTAAGGGGAGGAAGGCATCGATATAGACAGGCTCCTCACGTGTTGCGACCGCGAACTCGAGCCTCCCCGGCGGCGATCTTAATCTCCACCGGCAAGGCCGATGCGCGAGAGAGCTCTCGCCGGTAACTGACTTTACGACTTTCAGCTCCTTCGAGAGCGGCGGAATGGCGCGCCCCTCGCGGATTCTCAGAAGCCGAATTGTGCCCGTCGTCTGTTCGATTATTCCAGCCGGTAATCGCAGATCTGTCGTGACACGCCTGTAGCGACCCAACGACACTGCTCTGAGCGTAAGAACTTAGTGAGAAATAAAACTGCAGGAATCACCATCTCGGCATGTGAGAAACATTCATGGAGGATAGATGAATTTGCCCCGTCGCAAATTATACAATTCACCGTACCGCTTCGATTAACGCGATTTCTCAATCGTAATCGTCGTCGGGTGAGAGAGAGAGAGAGAGAGGTCGTGCGCGGTCTCGTATGATCGCTGTAACCCGTCGAACGTTGTTATTATCGTGATTGCGAACGCCTACGTACATGTCGCAATTTCGCATGACCGAGGGAGAAAAAAGAATGCCGAGGAATTTCGCGAGGTCCGTCGGTTCCGGCGCATTTTTGCCGGGCGGATGAGGGAAGCGCGATTCGGGGAAGCCACGAACGATCGTGTCGACGATCCCCGTAAATCCAAGTGCGTTATTTCCTACACGCATAAACGCCTCGAAATGACACATTCGACTGAATGCTATTTTTACGTGTTTTTTCCCGAATTAACTTACGCGTCGTTTAAAACGTTTAATCGTATTAGATTGAATCACGGCGTGTCAAGTTAACACGTGAAGTCACGTGAAATAATCGCGTTAAATGACGACGATTGAGAACGTGAGGGCACGCATGAGAAGTGTGTGAGAAGAGCCTCGGCTGAAGGATTCGCAGTGGTACGCGAGGAGGCGCGCAGGACACGAAGGATGCCAATGGTGTTACTCACGGTATCGGTGACGTCCGCCTGCATGTCCGAGTCCTCCTCGGCTGTATCGAGATCGTCCTCCTTCACGTTATCCGCGGGATACATGTACCCGTCGAAATCCAGATCGGCCCTCTTGTTCTTGTGCGTGCGGTCGCTCTTGACCGCGGTGCCGCTTCTCCCCCGCCAGTCGCGCCGGACCGTCGCGTCTTCGTACGCGTTCTTCGGAGACTTATGAGACTCGTCCGGGACGGCGGATTTGACGCTCGAGCTCACCGCGTGCGATCTGTTGGCGGCGAGCGTGAAGGGACCCAGCAGCCTGGAGCCGTTCTTCGGCTGGTGCTTGAGGTTCCTGTCCTCGATGTTCCGGTAATCCCTCTTGACGGTGGTCCTCGTGGTGGTCGGGTCGTCCGACGTGAGTCTCTTGATGATGTCGTCGTAGGTTAAGGCCGTCTTCGACCTGCTGCTCTTGTAGAAGTCGTTGTCCAGCTCCTCCGTCTCGTCACCCTCGTCCTCTTCCTCGTCCTTGTCGTCGAAGATCCTCGAGATGTAATCTTCCTCCTCCTCCTCGTCCTTGTCACTCTCCTCGAGCCCGCCGTGGTCCTTGTAATCCTCGTCCTCCTCCTCCTCCGACTCGCTCTCTCCTTTGATCAACGAGTCGTACTTGTAGTCCGAAGACGAGTTCGATCTTCTCCTCCAGTTCTCCGTCCATCTCGACTCTCGGTCGCGATCCTTCAGGCGATGCCTCGAGGCGTCGAGACGCGTCGCCCGGCTCCTCCAGTCCCTCCTCGGGGACGCGTGCCGTCGGGAGTTCCGCCACCGCTCGGGACGCCTGTCACCGCTCCCTCCGTCCTCGTACCTGTGCGACCTCTCGTGATCGAGGTAGGCCTCCTTCGAGTCGTCGTAGCCCGACCCAACGTCGTGATCGCGCGAATGAGCGCGACGCCCGTGGTAGGTCCTGCCGTATCGGCGATACTTGGCGTTGTATCGCGGCGAAATCTCGCGCCTCTCGTCCTCCGTGTCGTCGTACCAGCCGCTTCCGCGATAAGCCCCGCCGTGATAATACCTGGCCGGGTAACGCGGCTCGAACATCCGGCCGTGATAATTCCTCGGTTGCTGACGCGACCTGAGGTGATGATCGTAGTACGATCGCATCTGGTAATCCTCTTCCTCGGCGGCCGAGTCCTCCTCGCCGTCTCCGTCGTACTCGTAATCGACCTCCTGCCAGGCTCGCCGGTCGGCCTCGTGATGACTCCTCCGATTCGAGGACTCATGCCTGTGCCTGTGCCGATGTCTCGCCTCCGTCGCGTCCTGATGGTACTTGCACTCGGCCACGAAGAGGCCGTATGCCATAAACAGGCCCAGCAGCAGCAGCAGCCTCCTGTCGCGCGTCATCTCGTCACCGCAAACGCCGGTTTCTCAGGCAGCCTTACATCATCACGGGGGGCCACGTGACCGCGGCGGCTTTCGCGCGCACCTGTTCCTCCCCGACGATGCCTCTCGATGCCTCCTCGCGGATGACGGCTCCTTCAGCGGCGCATCGTGTCGACTCGCGACGCTCCCCGATCATTCCATCGCGCGACGATCCCTCCTCGCTCCTTCGCCGATGGCTCGTCCCTCTGAACTCGCGCGGTCGGCCGACCACGTGGTGAACCCGCAGCAACGGTAGTCGCGCGCGAGCGACTCTTTTTGGCGCGGCTCCAGTGGGAGCCTCTCTTCTGATCTCGCCCCGAACGTCACGTGAACGTCACCGGAGGCTCGGCTACAGCGAAGGCTACTCGCCGGGGCGTTATCGTCTCGCGAGTTATCGATCCGCACTCCGAAAACCGCCGAGGTCCTCCACCCTCCGGCAGTCCCCGGGGTTACGAGTCAATTCCGTCCTCCACGACGGTCCCCGGTGACGACCGGTCGCGAGATCGTCTTCCGTACGTTCGCTCCCCGTCGCGGGGTCTCAGGCGGATATCCGATTTTCCGATTGTCCGGTCGCACAACGAGTTTCTTCCGTTCACCTCTCTCTCTCTCTTTCTCTCTCGAGGGGGTGCTGCCACGATCCACGAAGATCGATACGCGCGCGTCCACTGACGACGGAGGGCACGACGACACGTACACGTGGAATCGTATCGCGGACAGAATGTCGCGGGCGACTGAGGCCGGCCGGAGCAGCCGGCGGCCTGAGAGATCGCGGAACGCATCGCGCATGCGTGCGGGCGATATTCGCCCCCACCGTCCCTCACGTCGCCGCGCCGGACGGAGTTCTCCTCCGGCCGCCTCGGCCACCTCCTTCGCCCCTTCGTCCTTCGCCTTTACCTCCGCAAGAAACGCGCACGTTTCACGGGCTCCGCGATGATGCACCATGAAACAATAGACGCGCGATGGGCCGCATCTCCGCCGGAGATACGTACGCGCGGATGAGCTCCTTAAAAAAAAAAAGAATCGCCGCTTCCGACCACCTCGGCGGGGTTGTATTTTTGCGACGGGGTGGCCTGGGGAGAGGAGGAGCGGAAGGAACGACGTGGCCTTCGACGGTGCGAAAGTATATTTTCTCGGATCTTCGAATCTTGCTTACTGCGAACGAAGCGAGAATGACGGAGTTTACATAATTATTCCACTTGACGTGAATCATATTTAACGAGTCGGCGAAATATGGTAGCCGAGAAGGGAGATCGGATGCTTGGCGTCACGTCATCGCCGAGGTCGGGCGAACCGTGTGTGAGCACAGGTGTGGTCACGCAGTAGACTCGCGTATGAATGGCCGGGTGGATTTTCTTTTTCAACCGGCGGGAATCATTACTCCGCCGGCGGAGTACTTTATGGGACGTTGATTAGAAAGCCTCGGGGAAAAAATCGGAATCGGAGGCGCGGAGATCGATCCGGCGAGATTTCGTGGTCCGCTCGGCATTACGCGTACCGTCGGGAACCGGTTTTCAATTTATTTCGAATAGACACGACATTATCCGCATTAGACTTTCGTGGGGATTGCTTCTCGCGCCGCGATAAAAGGCATTAAATTGATTTAATATCGAGCCGAGCGGCATTACGCGACGGTGTGCGCGCCCCGCTCTCTACCTGTATGTATCTTAATCGCGACTGGTCTCGAAGCGAATTTAGATAAGAAGCGATATTTATCCACCGGGGAGGCCCGCTCGGCAAATAAAAGCACTGATTCATTATCCGTTAAGAGATACGAAATTCCTCCGCCGAGATGAATCGACGATAACGTTAAATTACGGATACCTCGTAACAACGTATTAGCCGTATTAAAGTGTATTAAAGTGCCGAAGGAGGGAGGGAGGGGCGATTCCTACGGCGAATGTATCTCAAGCCTGTGCTCACGTTGAATCGCTTCTCGAACGGGGAATTTAATTACAGGTGCGCTCTCTCGAAGTGATTCGGTGAAAATGTCGACGCTTTCCGGCGTTTCACGTGCGTCCACCGTCGGGATACTTTTAACGAATCCTTTCAACCGCATCTCCTTTACTTACAGGCTTTACCGGTGAACTCGGAGTATCGAGAATCAGCGCATGGCGAGTCTCGCGCGACCGTGTTTAGGTTTAATGGATGACCGATGTTTGAGGGCGCTATCAGGCGGCCGTTCGTCTTACCCTTTTGCGCGCGATTATCGAAAACCGTCGCTGGTGCTTTTAGCCGAAAGCGAGAGATATCAGAGGCGGGCGACTCAGTGCGTCCGAGAAGGACGTTCCCGATTTTAATCCCTCACGGACGGCTCCCGCTTCCCCCGACCTTCGCCCACGGCGTATAACGTGCGGAACGTATGCGTTCCTGTCACACCCGCGGGCTCAGCGTTTCTCTCTCTCTCTCTCTCTTTCTCGATTTTACGATCGTCCGAGTCGAACGACACAGCCGGACCCGGCTTGGCCTTTTCGCCGCGCGTCCCATTCACTTTCGCGCCGCCATTCAGAGAGGCACGACGGAGAGTGGACGACGCGAAATCCGGCCGAAAAGGGGGTGAAAAAAGGGCTGGAGGGGAGAGGTCGGCAATCGAGACACGGAGGAGAGAGAGAGAGAGAGAAGGAGAACGCGAACGAAGGAGGAAGATACCGATCGTCGATGCTGATCTCGCAACCGGTACAACGAGGACTGGTTTTTCGTCGCGCGCACGGAGGTCGGCGAGCGCTTTTTGTCGCCCCTTTTAAGCGAACCGCGGTGCTTACGGTGATAAATAAACACGGTGGGGACCCCCCCTCGCCGGCTACCACAACATCGTCCCCGTCGGGTCCGATCGATCGGTCGCGATTTGTCGCGAGGAAACGTCGCGCGTCATCAACGGATGGCAGGAAGAGCTGGAAAGAGCGGGGAACGCGCCGGGCCCGTCCGCCGTTACTTTCGCACCGTTTTCGCACGCGGAAGAGACTCGAGAGAGACGCGGAAAATCGTCCGTCGAATTCACGAGCGCGCTCGCGCGATTGATCGCCGATTTGCTACGCGAGGGATCGGTGAAAGCCGCTCCTCGCGCAGTTTCCTACCGCGGAGGACGCGCCGTCGTCACGCGCCGCGACGAAAATCGGAATGTGCACTTTACCACGCATGGATTATTATCTTGCGAAACCGGCGGGACGCGAGGGGGACCGATATTACCGCGTCGTCCCCGTGCACATTCTCGCACGTCACGTCGTCATCGTTAAGATATTTCGCGTACGCGCACGGAAGAAAAAGAATATTCTCATTTTGAGGAGATCCGTGCTCTCAACGTGTACACGTTGATGTAAGATTATATAGGGTTGGACAGATAAAATTTTGCCTACACGACGAATGTAGTCACGCTAGAAATATAATATTTCGACGAATATTGAGTCAAATACAGAGTTATTCAAGATAACACATTCATCTTTTTGACATAATTATCCTAAATGTTACAAGATTTATTATTTTCAGAATAACCATATTGCGATCTGTAGTGGACTGTCGTAATCTTGCAATAACGTTGATATCGTTGAAAGAATATGAAATTTTTCGTAAGAGGGTCGTATATTCTTGCTTACATACGAAGCAACGATTGCGTTCATTAGAATATACAAATCTTGAATTGATACTGAATTTTCTTCCGTGCGGGCTTGTTCCCCTAAACGTCGCGCGCGCGTTGCGCAACGACGGCCACGACCCGAAGCCGGAATTGATTCCGCAAGGTGGAATTTATCCGGCCGAACACGCCTCGTTTCGCGCTCTCACGCGGTGCGTCGGCGTCCGGGGATTTCTCTAATTATTTCGCTTTCACGCCTCGTCGGTGGCCGCGCGCGCCCGCGCGTTAATTTGTATCCATTTGTCAGGATTCGCGCGCGCGAACAAACACCGGGTGCTCGTCAACGCCGACGCAAAATGACGATTAAATCGCGTCCGCGGAATTCGAACGCGCGAAACGCGGGAAAAAGTGACGGAGTTGGGTAAACGCAATTGCCCGTTTTTCAGTCTCTTAAATCACGTGATATTTTTATCAATTCAACACGTCGAGCGTTGCCGCGTGGGCTGTCGGTGACCCCCACGACTGTTGGACTTTCCGTTCCGGCTGCATAACGCCGTGTTTTACGTCACCTCTTTCCCTCATAATTACGTTTTTTGCAGTCTCGCGAATGTTATAAGACATCCCGCAAAGATATACACTAAAATCTGTAATAAATGAGGTAATATCGCGGTAATATCGGTGGCCTGCGCGAACGGGAAGTCACGTAAAATTGACGTGGCACTCGACATGTTAAATATATTTTAATAGCTTGTGGTAAATGCTTACTCGAATATACAGTTACACCTCAATTTGTAAAGGAATTATTGAATGTGTACAATGGTCCGAAATTTAAGAAAGTATTTATCAGAATCAAGTGACACCTCTTTTCCACTGAAGAAACCCGCTGATTTTAAATTTAGATTTTCCGTTCGGCAGATAATTTTCAAAAGTGAATTCTGGTACTCTCGTCATTACGCATACTCGTCGTAACTGTTTTAACACGTACAATTAAACGTCTACTTATATGGATACTATATCGTATATATTTCTATTTCTAATAAATACAAGAAGTACACATCGAAGTAACCACCTTACTTGGACCAAGTAAATATCACTCGAACGGTGGCACTTTTTTCTTCTCAGTGTAATCGGGAGACCGCAGGTGAGAGGTGTGTTAAGCCCGGCCGTTAAATAAAATAAGTAATGGCCGCGATGAATAAGTCCTCGTTTTTAAGATCTTTTCACGCGTGCCATTTGAGACGCGCCGCGCGTTGCGCAGCCTCGCCGTGGGTGATCGGATAAATAACCGTTTACACCCCGTCCGTTTAATAACGGTGAACTTTTGCGTCGTTTACTTCGCCGTAAATACGCGGTTGTCGCGAGACACCTTCGCGTTGCACACGAAGCACGAAGTGTGCATGCATTTAAGATCTCGTTTCGCTCGCGCGATTCCGGCATGCACGGCATGCCTCGACGAGATCGAAAACGCTCGCAGAGGCACAGAGACAAAGAGAGAGAGAGAGAGAGAGAGAAGGAGCACGTGGTCGCGCTTAGTCTCATCAAGATTTTCGTGAACACGAAACGAGATTAGTCACGCGGATTTAAGCGCGACTTTCGTGCCAAGAGAGACGCGCGCGCGCAGCACCGATTTGTTCTACTTACAAAACGTGTGGGCTCGCTCGGAATACCTGTACCTGTAGTTTTCCATATGTCACCGACTCAAAGATCCGTGACGCTCGCTCGCTCGCCGACGATATCTCATTCCTCGCGGCGTTCTCCTCGCGCGCATGGACATTTTTTCTCTCTCCGACAGTTGACCGTGAATACAGCGCGTTCATTCTTTACGAACGGCGTGTGATAAAAGCGAGCTTGAAAGCAACGGGGAACGCGACAGAAGTTCCGACGGAGAGTTCTCGCTCCGCGAGAAACACGGTTAGAATCCGTATGGATTATCCGCTTCGTGTTCTCACCTCTCGAGGATATTCGAAAGCGATTTTGATGTACGAGCGTACGCACGGAGAGGAGAAGTCCCGCGTCTCTATTTATTACAAACCACTTCACAGGCAGTAACGAAATTACAGGTGTTTAATGAACACACAGATATTTAACGTTAGACATTATCAATCATGTTTCTCATTATTATAAAGGGGGCCTACCGTGACCGTAGGATGCGTGTAAATGTTCGCGCAGGATTCTCGGCGAAACCGGCACGACGAAACACACATCAATTTTCCCATCGGTCGGCTTGAATACGAAAGCTTTCACGCGTTAGCGCGCGTATGGTGATTTGTAATATCATGAATTATGATAACGTAACCTGTCCACATAGGAAATAAGTGTCACGGCGGATCCGCTTAATAATGGTAAACCTGATTGCACCGCAGGACAAACGTCGGTAAACTCTCTCGCGAGTGAATTACAAGCGACAGACTTGAATGCCGCGCGGGATTCTCTATCGACATGTTGCACGTTTTACGTTGCACGCCTCTTCCGATTTCGAGATCTTTCGACCAAGTTCATCCGCCGGGTTATCGCCGGAGATTAAGGCTTTTGGGTCACTTTGCCATTTCGTATCGCATTCCGTCTGCGATAGCCGCGCACTGCCTTCGCGCGTCTTTAACGTCATATCACGGTATCACGAGCGAGGCGAGAAAGTTCGAATTTATCCCCCCCGCCCCTTTCCGGTGTTTGTGCGCGGCACGCAGCATATTCAAACAATTTTGGAACGCCCGTAAAATACGACGGGAAAAACAAACACTCACGAGGGTGCTGGACAAATATATAACGCAGGAATTGTCGACTGTTTCTTCCTCTCTCTCTCTCTCTCTTTCTCAGACGCGGAAATAAATCACGCCCAACGCGTTAAAAACATTCACGAGGGTGAAGGGAGGGACGAGCAGAGGAAGGGGAGTCGGGGGAGATTCTCGGCTTCCAAAAAAGAAAAACGCCGTCCGTCGGCCGCAATCTGCGAGGATGCATTTTCGTCTGATGATCGGCCGCTCGCACACGTAGAGAATCCCATTTTGCACGGTGCACCTGCTGAGTGGCAGCGCGAGGGACGACACAAAGAACGGTGTGTCGGGTATGTCCGATTGCGATAACCGGAATAACTTCTTTTGTGTCCCAAGGCCGCCGCCGGTGCTTCGCCGCGCGCGACCTCTGACACCGCGCGCGCTCGACCAGCGACACCTCCCACCCGACACTCTCCCCCGGGATCCTCTTCTTTCACCGGGTTCACCTTGACGCAGCACCACCCGGCGTTCACCGAGAAAGCGCCGGCTTTGTCACTTGATGACGCTTCACGTTCCGGCCGGAGCAATACGTTTCCGCTTTAGCGCGGCGGTATCTTTGTATCGAGTTGTCGCGACGAAGGACGGCCGAAGGACGGTCCCTCCGAGACATCGTCGGGGTGGTAAGCTCGAGAAAGAAAAGAAAAAATCGCGTGGGCGTGTCGTTTCACAATGTGATCTGTTCGAGAACGGGAACGCACGTAGTCATTAACGTTCCCCGGCGGATAACGGGGACAGCTCGGCCGCGGAAGTGCCTCGGAGATAACTAGAAGACAAACAGCGGAAGACAAACAAAGGGTAAAATCCTCTACACGGCTCTCCTCGCACCCCTCGCGCATTAAATCATAACGCAAACATCGCTCATGAGAGTCTCTCAGCCCCCCCTCTCCGGAGTTACAACCGGAACAACCGCGCAGCCACTAAACCGCGGTAGCGGCTATGGAAATTCGTGGATTCTCGTGGTAATTTTTATAGCTTCGCGGAAGTCGGTCGGTGGCACGGTCAACACGGTCGAGAGTGCCACGTCAGCCGTATCTGGATGGTGACGTGTGAATTCCCGTAGGGTCGCACCCTCCGTCTCCGGGCGGTTTTACACACCCGAGTGATACCAGGAGCGATTTTCGTACTTTAACACGTTCGTTTGGTTTATTTTTCCGTTTCCACCCTCTTCACAGGGCCCATCTCGTACTTTTATCTTCTACGGTAAATATATCGAACAAACGTAATTTGATGATACCGACGTGGAAAAGAAATTTCGCCGCCGCACATATGTAACGCTGGACTCTCCTGGAGAGATCGTTGTGTATTACACGTGCAGAGTTGAGTAAAGTTGAAGATTGGTTATGCGAGACTATTTATATATATAAACCTAACTTAACTATTCTCTTCTAAGTTATATATGTATGGTTTTGCATAATTAAATTTTAACTTTGATAAGTTAATTTAATTTTAACTCAACTTTTAATTAGTTTCTGTTTACGTTATTTTTGACTTAACTAAATTAATTGTACAGGCCGTTAATTTCTAATTTAACTTTAAAAATAACTTTAAAAACAAGTCAGTATATTTATCGACCAAATATTTGATCATTGCAACCAAATATAATTTAGTTTCATGTACTAACTATACAATATACGGAACTAAATTATTTGGTTGCAATAACCAAATATTTAATCGGCAAACATCAACCAGATTTTAGTACTTATTAGGAAATACTTTTTTCAGTGTGTATACACGTGAAAAATCGCTCGCGATTTGCGGACACTGTGTGTGTATTGCGTCTCGTTTGAATTTTTCGATTAGAATTTTCTTTATTATAATGGGTGCTTCTTCCACATCCGCACTGAGAAAAAGAAATTTAAATTTCGCGAAGTAAATGTTTCTTGTGACACTTTCTTCGATATTTTTTGGTCACAAAAATAATTTGACCGTGATGACGGAACATATATTTTTTGCGAAATATACCTAAATTTTCAAACTAATTGGTTTATTTGCCAGAAATAAAATTTCATTTCTTTTGTATTTAAATAAACTTCGTACTTTTATCTTCTAAAGGTTTATCTAAAGGTCTATTATCTAAATTTCTGCGAAATAAATCTTACGTTTCACCAAAAAAATGTTAAGCCTCCTTCTCAGTGCAGTAACATAAATCGACACGAGCATTTTATCCCATCTTCGTTACTCATTGAACGCGGAACAAAGACCGAACGGTGCTCGCGCGTTGATTTGTAAATCACTGAATGGGAAATAGCGATTATTCGCGTCTCAGCGTCGCACGATTGAATTCTACGCCGCACACAGCGAATGTCGGGGCGCGCCGCAACGAAATGGTTAACAGACACTGGTCATTATCTCGGATCTTTCACTGTGATATGCGTCTTACACTTAAACCTACAATCACCGGAGATAAAAGGCCAGCAATCGGCAATAACCAAGAATGCGGCGCGCACGATATATAATGCGATTGCTGCCCTCGACGGGGCTGCGCACCTGCGGAGACGGCTGTATGCGTGCCGGAGATTTGCATTTCATTTTCACGGGTAATTACGCGCGGCAGTAGCGGGCCCCAGGCGTCCTACTAAATTAGCGGAGCAACGCCGACTACTTTATTGCGCTAATACCATGTGATATTGCAATTCTATTCCGAGGTCGCGATCTTTCAAATTCCCCCCCTCCGAGATCGAAAATCACCCGGTCCGATGTTGCCTCGGGATGAGTAATTCGAAGACTGTGAAGCGCCTCGGCGACTTTTCCTTTTATCATTTTATTGACTCATTATCAAACGCAGTGCACTCGCACCGTATACTGCATTTTATATAATCCTTTGGCTTAGATACGTAGCTTACATAGAGACTAATACCATTTTCTGCTGCGTCTAGACCGGGGAGATATGTCGAACGCGCCAGGGTACGGCGTTGTAGCGAACGTTGATAGCGAATTCGGTTGCTCGAGCGCGCACTAAGGCCCGTTCACAGTCCGCCATTACATTTAAAGATCATCTTGAACACATTTTCGAATACTTCGGACCAGTGATATGATATGATATGCACAGTATCCGTACGCGTCATTTAATTAGCTGACAAGCTTTTAAATGTGTATTTGAGACACGATCTTAAACATAAAAGTGTACTGTAAACGAGCCTTAGTGCGCAGGCTGAACTCGCCACATAAGACGAGACATCAATCGTGATGAGTGTGCACGGCAAGCTCGATGCGCGCGCAATACAATTTGATACAAAGTCCACACGAGAGACGCGTTTTTCCTCGTATCGCGCGTGTGTTCGCCGCGCCTTCGTAAAAAAGCGCCGGGCAAAAGTGCGGGTAAACAGTATCTCAGACGCGCGACCGTTCCCGCCTCTCAGTGTTAACAGTTACTTTTCGAACACGTGCGATCGGGGGCTCTGCGTCCCACTTTTACGGAATACAATGCGATAATAAGAAATCGTCTCGACATCAATTAAAAACGATCGGTACGGATCGAGACTTTTAGATGCTTACGTTAACGTGTTAAAGTTACTCCCGATATGCGGATTCCGCGGAAAACGCGTGTCTGTCTGTGCGCGAGTGTTCTCTCGATACATCACGGGCCGGCTTTCGGATCTGTCGGAAAAGTAGAACGTTGAAGTCGCAGAACGAGGTTTTCCCTCAATAATCGATAATCAATTTAAGTACAAATCGGGTTGTCGGCTGAATATGCGGGCGTTTTATTTTTTTTCTTTCTCGTTCCCCTTCTCTCACTTTTTTCGATCGGGACAGAAGAAAAACTCGCGGTGGAGAACGTATATATCGTTATGTGTGGAAATCGCTGCGACGAGATCTCGGATATCTCGAAGACGTACGTCCGCGAGGTCGACGACGAAGCGGGAAGCGAAGGAGCCCGATCGAGCGATGGCGCGATAGAATGATGTATTCACGACCGTGCGGATCGTTATCGGACTTCGTCGTTCGCTCTTTCGTTTCCTGTATCGAGAGTCGTAGGATCGAGGGGTCGGAACTCCCCCTCTCCCCGAGTCCCGCCGCGACTCTACGTCCGTTTCGACACATCCGTGTGCGAACGTTCACAGCGTGGACAGTATCAAGCCCAACACCACGCTCGTCACCAGCATCGTCGCGGAGCCCAAAGCGGCGGGCGCGCCCGAATGGTTGATTTGCTTCCTCAGATCTTCCGGCACGTCCAGGTAGATCTTATCCACGCCCACGTCCGCCATGAGCTTCTTGAGCTGCGCGACGTCGACGAAATCGCCCTCCGACGACCAGATCGTCAGCGTCGCGTTGCTGGACGTTGTCGTGCCGTTCAGCAGTTTCTTCATGACTTCGATATCGTTCGCCGCGAGGCCGGCTCGTACAGGATAAGTTACCGACTGTTTCACCTGGTTATCCGTCAGCGCGTCGGTCATCATCTTGATCTGCGACGGAAGATATCGACCCTCGGTGACGCCGTCCTTCTTCCCGTACCTGAAATATCGACGGACCGTTCAGTCTCGACGCTTCGCGAAGAGAGATTCGAATTGACAACGCTCTTCGTCGTTTCTTTCGGTTGACGGCTTGGATAAAAAATACGACTCGCGAGCGCCCAAGTTTTCATGAACGGCTAACTCTCTCGGTGTCGCACATGTTAATTGTAACCAGAGTTACTTGTACGAATTTTGACCTTGCATGATGTGAGGTCGAAAAGTCGTACATGTTAATCCTCGTTGCGACGGCCAGGCAGATGTAACTGCGAGTGTACATCATCATTCGATTTCTCTCGATGGGATCTAAATACGTGTCTCATGATTTCTTTCGGTTGATCGGCTCCCAAGATATCGTGTTTACCCCGCTAATATCGTCCCGCGCGTTTAACGTACGTTCAACATATTTTATTGGACCACCTCCTCCAAGGACTTTATATTTATAACCGCCTTTTTTTTTTATAAGAGGTCGCCTCCATGGTCGTCACCGTGTATATTTCTTTGCTTATACGGTCAATTAATCACAAGGTTGTACATTAGAACTCGCCGCCGCTCCGTTCGTCGCGCGCTGTAATCCAACATTTACCTGGTCGTCCAGCCGACGGAGAGGATGCATTCCGGAATGGTTTCCATAACGCCCTTCAGGAAATCATTGGCGTTGACCGGAGTAGTAGTGGCGTTCACCGGCCCGGGGATGATGTCCGCGTTGATGAAAACCGGGAACTTTAACTGCACAAGCAAACATTTTATTCTCTCTCTTTCCTTCTCTTCGTTCTTTAACATTCTGAAACAGCGCGTTTAAGTCGTACGTACGTTCGGTCGGAACTTCGTGAGGATCGGTTTGCTCTTGTTGAACGCCTGGATGCTCTTGAAGTCCAGCTTGATCCCCTTGGTGCCATTACTCTGGATGGTGGAGTTGAGGAACTCTTCGAGCGACAGGTCGCTTTCTTCGGCCGGCGGATGCGCCATTATCGGGATCTCGGTGACGCTGCTGTTGTTGGTTTCGTTAAGCTTGCCCATCACGACGTCGGCCTCCAGCATCATGATGTCGTCTTTAAAAAGGAAAGTCGGTTGTCCGCCGGCCCCGTGTGTGTATGCGTGTGAGCCAGCCGTGGTTGAGACGACCGGCCGGGCGGGGAGGGGATTCCGGTATGCATACACGTGCAGGGAATATCGATTACGCCTAAAGAGGCTGGAAGACTCGGTGCCGGAGCCGCGCATCCGCCGGAGTTGACGCTCAAATGGCCGAAAATTCCGGCTCTTTTCATAAACGGAAAAGTGGAAGCGCTCAGAGAAAGGGAGGGAAAAAGAGACTCGCGCGCGCGTTTCCGGCCGAGCTTGAAAGAGCCGCGACACTTTTTCCCCGCGGATAGCCCCTTTTTCCCCTCCCCGTGAGTGACCGCGCTTTGAACCGACGGATTTGCGGGGTATTGCGCGAAAAGATGAACGTTCCTCTCTCTCTCTCTCTCTCTCTCCAGGCTGTTGCGCGAGGATCGCGCGGGCGATTCATCCGAGGTGATAAACCGTGTTCGATCGCGGGATTCGGCGATCGAAGGTCGAAAATCGGCGGCCGACCTTCGGCAATTTGCTACCTCAGCCACCTCGTTGAGATTCGAGAGAGAGACAAGCGTGAAGCGTACTTCCCGAAAACTCTGCATCGGACGTGACTGCGTACAAATGACTTATCTACGAGGGCCCGAGGCGTACAAAGGTGGAAAACTTAAATACGAGAGGAAGAGAGAGAGAGAGAGAGTTCGAAAATCTTCCGGGCGCGAAGTTCGCGGCAAGTTCCCGGCCAATTCCGGAATCGGCATCCAGCCGGAATCGAGATACGCGCTGTAATGTATATCAAAGAGAGGCTGAGAGGGGGGAAGGGGTGACGGTTGGTAATGCGAAACAAATCGATGTGACTCGTACTTCGCAGGACCGCGAGAGGAGGAGAGCGTTTCTCGGGAAGCAGAAACCCGCTTCCATAAAGCTTTCTCCCTCGCTGTCGATATTTCTGGAGGCGCACTTTTCAAGGACACGCCACCATTATTTAAAGCGCGCCGATGTAAAAATACACGTCACCACGTATGCGGGTTGCACACAAAGGCGCGCACAGCCGGACAACGATGGGACATGAAAGCGACAAACGCAGAAGCACCACCGGCGACATTGAAGGCTCGTCGCGTCGGCCGCAGCGAAATGTCACGAAGTTCATTAACTAGTAATATGTTGACGGTCGATGCTGGGAGTCGCGAACTTGCGAGGAAGATTCAAGTACCCACCGGCGCGGGACATTTTCGCGAGTCGAGGCTACGTGCACCTCCCCGACGACTGTACACGTCGCGGTATTAAATATTTATGGGTTGACTGTTGAGCGACTCGCGAGCAAATTGGTTTTAAAGCGCCGTGCAAACTCGGAGAGGCAGCCGGTGTTTCATGTTATCGCGATTTACGCGGATATACGTATAACAGAGGGATGGACAGCGTCTGGATGGACATGTATATATATATATACATATATACCCGTCATATCTGCTCATTGTTCTTCGGCATTTACATAAAGTAAATCGCGCGACTCGAAGCGTACTCGCGGCTACCCGTCGAAATGAATCACTCGGAGCTGCCTTATTGCGCAACGCCCGTCGTTCGCGCAACCGTCATTCGCCAACTGACTCGTGCGATCTTGTTGACGTGACGGTGTTAATGCCGATGCGAATAAAAAAAGTATATATGTTCTCAACGAGCGAGAGCGCACGGTGGTCGCGTATCGCCAGGGTATGTTTTCCCAGCTGCCGTAGTTTGAACTGGCGCGCAACAAACTTGTAAGCTTCTGGCCGATAAAACTGATCAGGAAGCAGCCAGTTGGAGAATCACCGGCCAGTTACCGGCTGGAAATCTCCACTCGATTACAATACAATAATACCGGTTGGGTGTTCGAGCACGCGAGGCTAACCGGAACGTCGTCGACGTCCGACGTCTCTTCATCTCGAGTGCGATAAACGTAAGGACGAAGGGGGTCCCGCTCGTCAATTACAAGCAGGATCTCGACCTACCTGACGAGAGTACCGCTTCCAATTCCGCTTTGCTGTTGACAGCGTGCGCCCACACGATCTTCGTGAGATTGCCTTTGACGTCGGGGAAGAAGTTCCTCGGCTCCGTCGAGACCATGTTGCACATGACGGCTTCTGAAACATGGGAAGTGCCGGAGCTGTGTAGTACCCTGCGGCGTTCCGCGTTTCGCGCGAGAGCCCACCCGGACTTGACCTTCCCCATCAGTATTCCCGAGACCCCTGACCCAATATTCGACGGGTTCTCTCGCTCCATAATTGAGCGGACCGTGAATTCCTCGCGGCGACCGGCCGCTCTCCGAGGCGGCCGAGATATTCGTCCCCTCCTATTGTGCGACCCGTTCGATCGATAATCACGTTCATTTGTCACCCGCTCGTTACCGAACGGCTTCCACTGCGCCGCTTCGGCGGAGGCCGAATCTGTCGGCGAACCGCTTTGCGAGGGTCATCGGGGATACCCCCGTCGTTTCTCGCGACCGTCCTTTTTTCCCGTCGATTTGCCGCAGCCGATATAAATGAATCGCACGGCGAGTACCGCGAGAGCGCGACGCTCCACCGACGCTTCGGAGATGTCGGAGTGAATGAATAAAGAATCTCGCCGTCAGAACTTTCCACGACAAGGCAGCCGAGAACTCCATCCTCCTCGGGGGCCGTTTCCGGCACGGATCCCGGGCCATGTGGCGGGCAAATTTCGCGACGTGTGACCCCTCCGGGCAGATTGCGAGGCCGATTGGCCACCACGTCGAAACCCTTCCGTAAGGCCGGACTTTTTACGAACGACTAACTGGACTTGCCACGACACAGCGGGCCGAAGTCCTAACTAGCCGGCGTGATTCGAAATTGTATTTGGTTATTATAACGATGGACCCTTCGGCGAACATCGAGTTCATTCCCTCGAAGTTTCTTGTTTACGATCGCGCTCGGAAAATGCGCGACACTCTGGCTATCAACTGCTGTGATAAATTGGCGAGATATTCGTAAGTTACGCGATTTCGATACCGTGTCGATTATGTGTCAGGCTAAAATTTGGCTTCTTCGGGTACAGCGAACAGAATAATAAAGTAAAATAAATATTAGCCTTAACAATCCGCCGATAACACGACCCACTCGTCGGAGACTGACTCGCTAACTGTTGGTTCGCTCCCATTTCACGTTTGACGATTGTATCAATGCAAATATCGTGCCGACAATAACTTCGGAAAGTAGACGCGTCTCGAATGGGAACAGATGTGTTAATGCATTAAGCAAGGATGCCTGTAGATGCCTGTAAGTGTCTGCAATCTTCCGTTTCCTCCGCGGGAAAAAGAAACGACGGCGTGTCCCTGAACACGTTGCGATCAGCGATGCGAGTACGCCATTCAAAGTCTCATCCGATATCGACCGTAATGAGAAAGTTCCGGCGACTGATCAGCTTCCGAGCCGAAAGTGGCGTTTGTTCCTCGACCTCTTACCCCACCACTTCGTAACTGGAGCACAAAAACTTCGCGGGGAACCTTTCCCCTGCGTGAACCGCCGCCCGGCCTTAAATTACCGCGCTCGTTAAGTCGCCCGGAATTTATCGCGCGCGCGTATCTGTTTTCTGCGAAACTTTCCTGAAAAGCCTCTCGTGCGAACAATCGATATCGGCCGAGCCATTGATTTCTACTGACCCGTTTCCGGTCCGGCGATCACCGAGGTGAACCCGGATTCGTGCCGGCCAATGGAGAGACGCCGAGCCGACTCTTTTTTTTTTTTTTTTTAAGCACTAATAACAGCCTTCTATACGCGCGCGAGCGTTTCCGTTGCAACCCAGTTCACGGATAATAACCGCCCGTAGTCTGAAAATTTTGATACTCATACATTGATGATCGAGCGCCTCTCAATTACAAACTGCTCGCGGGAACTCACGTTGTAACGAGAACACGGAGGAAATTTGGTTGTGAAAAAAATTATGTTAAAGTTATATCTGTTTACGATATTTTTCATAAAGCTGGGCTTCATTTTCAGACGCTCCGCGCATCCGATGAAACAATCCGTATGGCCAGTCATAAAAAAAAGGTATATTGTCATACGTTTTTTTTTGTGAGGTTTGCAACGTATCTCGTGTCCAATATAGGAAAATGTCTCTCTTGAGAATTAATAAAAAACTAATTTTCCTATTGTATGCAGGATACGTTCCGAAATGTATAAAAGAAAACAATCTTTTTGTGACTGACCATGTAGCATCTGAAGGTGGGAGATACGAGATGCAGCACCAGTAATTTTCTTTGCTGCTAACTTCATATTTTTTTTTACCGGTGGTAGTCGAACCTATTTACAAATACACTCTTAGAATCGGAATCAGGTTGACGTTATTGCGCCCGCGAGCTTTCGACGAGGTACACAGTCGGCTGCTGATTAAAAGTTGCGGCACTCTTCCTCGATAAATTTTGCAACGCATTCCAACGTATCCCGTAACAGGGGAAAGCACATAAAGTTTCGGGGAAAAACTGTTTTTCCCCACATTTTCCGCGGATTTTTTCGGTTCCTCTCCCAGGAGTGCAAAAATCCGTTTATACAAATTCACGCGTGCGTTCGGTCGAAACTTGCCGCATTTACCTTTTCCCATAAAGGAAGATAAAAAAAAACCATAAAAATCCGCGGAAAAGCGGAGAGGGGGAGAGGGGAAAAGAATCGGTTTTCTGAAACTTTAAAATGAATGAGGAAGTATCTCTTGAGAATTACTGAAAAGCAGATCCTCCGATTGGACTGGGGAATCAGTAGAATTGCAAAAATGTCGTTGCAATTTTTGCCGCGATATTTTTCCGCGCGCGCACACGGAGCTGAAGAGCCTTGCTCTCCATGTATGCCAATGTGCGGCTATCAAAATTATTTTCACCTTGAGTGGATAACGCTGTTATGCGCGCGCGATAATCCAATGACGACCGAGCCGTGAGAGAAAAAAACGAAAACCCCGGAGATCGTGATCAAACTGCATTTGCCGATGACACTGTAATGAACTTAGCCCGGGGCCACTCCCGGGTTGATCTAATGACATTCCAGCGAAGATAATGTTTGTTCGTGCTTTAGACTCACGACAACGTGTAGTAGACGTGACTCATCGACATGGCATTCGAATTCGTCACGCAACGTCTTAAATTCATTCCTCCGCGTTCGTCGTTCACGACGCTCGGATGTGGAGCGGCGAGTTTCCACTCACCCTTGAGGAATCTTCCCCGGTGCCGATGGTCGAGGAGAGATACCGAGAGGGGAGAAAAGGTTGTCCGTTTCTGTGTTCGTGGGCGCGCGGGCTCGACCCTACCAAAAATCCAGCGTCCTCGCGCTGTAGCGAACGCGCCCCGCCGCTACAATGTCTTCGAAACGGCCGTTTCCGGCTCAGCGATCTCACACAGAGACCGTACTGTGTGTTCGGACCGGTTGGGCCACGGAGGGAAAACGTGAGAAAGAGAGAGAGAGAGAGAGGGCGAGCGGGGCCCTTTTTTTTTGTTACGAGCGGTCGGGGTTCGCTCGCTCGACCGAACGCTACGAGATCGAGACTCTGAAACTGACCTCGCTCGGGGAGAATAAGATTGGCCGGACAATCGATCATCTGTTTCCCGCAACAATGGACCCCGCGAATGGTGCGCGTCTCTCGTGGCGCGGCGTGCACGATTTCGTTGCGTTTCACGCGCGATGAAAGCACGCATTTGATGATGCGCGATCGTGTTACCTGCGGGTGTATCGCGTGTCCTGCCGTTTGTATGCCAACTCGCGGTCGCGATAACAACGGCGACGCTCGTCGAAGATATTTACCGCTTGTGCGTGCGTATGAAACACGAGAGACGAATTAACGTTGGCGGAAGTCTCGTCTGGCGTCATATCGGGGAAATGACGGTTCCCCGTGAACGCGCGCACACACACACGGGTTCGAATATTTTCCTATGCGCCCCCTCGGCACACAGTCCACCTGTAATATCAGTTGTCTACCGCACCCACACACGGAGACGGTGGATCATAACGAGGGCGCGAAACCGGCAGTGAAGTGGGAGGGAAATGCGCCGCGTAAAATTTTCCCTCGGTAAAATTTCGTCCTGGCCAACTTCCGACGCTCGCCGGCTCGGCGCATCGTGAGCGTCATCGTGCACGGAATATCAGGCGTATATCGGCCGTTTTTCTTCATTCCGAGCTTTATCGCGGCCTGTATTTTCTTAGCTCGAATCGTTCGCGACGCGTAAATCGCGCGGATGCCGGGAGGACGAAATCGAATCAGGCTTCCTTCCAGCCTCGTGAACACGCCGGCGTGGCCGCCTTTCGCGGTATAAAAGAACCCGATGGGCCCTCGCGGCCTGATAAAAGCATCTTTCACGCGTCACTGCGGCCCCGGTATAGTTTGCAAATAGCCGCGACTACCCAGTCTCTTCCGCTTAGAGTGCGCTTTTGAAGGCGTCTGGCTGGCGGACTGCCTCGAGAGAGAGAGAGAGAGAGAGTTTCGCCTTAGTCAGCCGACCTGGCAAAGCGTGACTTACGACCGCGAGTCTATTATCGAGAAACTTCGAGCCTCGGAGATCTCGCAGCGAGAAATCGCCACCGATCGAAAACAGCAATTTGCTGAACTTTATAAACGATGGAGTTTAATGTATCCCTCGGATTTATCCGACGACGAAATTTCGGGCTCGGCTCTGACGTCTTGCGCTCCTCCGCGCGGAGATGCGGAGTAGGTCGCTTACTGTCAGAAAGTTTCGCGGGAATCGAGAGCTCGCTCGCTCGACGTGGTCGATATTTCTAATATCTCACGGAGGAGATCGCAAGAAAGGAAAGTTATTTTCTCCCGGTAATTTTCGGTGCTTTTTTTCTGCAAACCGACGATATTACCCGAATTTTCGACGTCTCCAAATTGGCTTAAATTGGTGTTCCGCCGGATTCGAGAGAGAGAGAGAGAGAGAGAGAGAGAGAGAGAGAGAGAGAGAGAGTTCGACGTAGTCGATACTTCGATACTGAGACGCTCGGGTCGACGAAATCGACGAGATCGTCCTCGTTCGAGAAGATATCGAGTCCATCGGACGAATTACGTGTTGGCTAGTGGAGATATCATGTATTTTTTTAAGGCAGTTGCTGAACCAGTGTAGTAAAAAAATCGGGGAAAATTACGGAAAAAAATA